GAATAGGACACCGGAAACAAAGCTCCCCACAGGAGTTTCCGCACCGGAAGTAGCATATGCTAACGTGCACGTAGTCAATTATGGTTAGTAACAGTTAAATGCAACTCCTTTTTTGGTAATCTTCTATAACACTTAGAAAGGTGTCTCAATTGCCTTTCACCTCAGCTGCTTCCTGTTGTTCTCGTTAGGGGGCCCATGATCGTATATATCACATCCTGAGTACATCCTGTTATAACCGTCGCTGTGCAGGCACATATGCAGTTACAAGCGAAACACTTATAAGGCTCTATGCTGTGCACGTTCATTAGCTTCTGGATTAATATGTCACTAATTAAAGCACTACCACCTAATATATTTACCACACTAGCTTCCACCTAAACATGATATAGCATGTTCTGACTGAGAGATTTCTGACAAATTCAAACGCACAGCTCTGCTGTCATTTCCAACATGGTATAATAGCTGCTATATAATGATGTGCTACGTGACCGCTAGCGACACAGCTATGTTAGCATAAACAGTGAAGCTGGAGGATGAACGCTAACTTTTTTCCACTCGATAAAAGTTAACGTGAGGGTTCCTGATGGTTAGAGACAAATGCAATCACATGGCAGGATGCTGTAAACGGACCAAACTTCAGTCAGGAGAACAACTGAGATAATCCATCCACAATACGAGGTTAGTCATTCATATACTGCTGCTGGGCTGGAGTTACATCGTAAGGGTTTAAAAACTGAGCTTTAAAATGAACAGTGATGATAAAAACAGAGAGAGGCCGACAGTGATCACTGACTGATTTTAGAGGCTTGTTCAGATTAAATAGAACAAGATACAAAATATTAAAACATGTTAAAAACACAACAGCCTTAAACACAGAGGAGTTTGGACCGGAGCAGTGTTCATACGTCATCACTCAAAGACTGGACACAAGGGGGTGTTTAATATTTCAGTCAGTAACACCTGTTTTTATCCAATAGAGGTGCAGCATTGGAGAAGTCTTTGTATTCAGCATCTGGAGGAATCAGTCAGGCTCAAGAAGGGTTTCAATGCTGCAAAAGCTCTGCTGGCTTTGCAGTACGCACAGAACTTTGAAAGGAGGTCTGTTTACCTGTCAGTTTGTTTAGGTCTGTTTACCTGTCAGTTTGTTTAGGTCTTTTTACCTGTCAGTTTGTTTCCAATGAAATATTCTCAGTGTTGGTTTTATGTCTATTTAAAAAAGCTGGTAGTAATGACACAGGTAGAAGAACGGTTGGACTAAACCTGACCGACGTGATCACTTCTGGAATAAAACAAAAAAGCGTTGAATCATGCTACCAAAGCTGGAAACAAGTGCGTGAAGGAAACTTTGACCCCTGTGGTCACACCAACATTATGTCAGATAGTTTTACTCGACTGTATTGATGTTTCTACAGACAGTCATCAGATCGTTGCTTCAGAGCTCAGCAGATGTTTGATGAAGTGCTGCAGACATTAGAGGATGAACCTCCAGGCATCCAACAGTACATCTACCGGTATTATGCAGAGTTCTGCTTCTATAACACGGATCAGAAAGACCTCGGACTCACCTATTACAAAAAGGTACGAATCGTTCAAAACTGCATTCAGACTGCAGGTGCGCACGCCAGGTGCATACGCCAGGTGCATACGCCAGGTGCATACGCCAGGTGCATACGCCAGGTGCATACGCCAGGTGCATACGCCAGGTGCATACGCCAGGTGCAACCAGTATTAGCGAACAGGCCTCTGAGGCAGACGGACATTTGGAAAGTGGAGCTGTGGACAGTTAACTGTCTGCTAACGTGTCCTGTGCTGCATCCAACAGGCTCTGGAGTTGTGCATCAACACATCACATTGGAAGCACTGTGTGAAGGTTGGCCAGCTTCTCACTCTGCTTTATGCAAAACGAATGCAAACTCAACCTGATCTTAGTAAACAGGAAGTAACCTTCAGTATTCTTTTGCAGAAACTGACGACGATAGCTGAGAAAGGCCTCAAAAGGAATCACAGAGACGCCGCGTCCTATGGCATCCTGGGAGCAGTGGCCAGAGCTAAGGGCGATCGGAGCGCGGCTGTGAGAAATTATGAGCGCGCTCTGGAAATAGACGCCAACAACGACGAGTATCTGTTAGCCCTGTGGGAGCTGCGCCTGGATCTGACCGCACACGGGGAAGAGAAAGACCGCCCGGAGGAGAAGCTTTCAGAGGCCGCATGTGAAAAAGTTTGTACCAGGAAGGCCACCGTTTGAAATGCTCGGCTACGTCACATCACACCTGGGAACTGCTACATCGATCACCACGGCCGTCTTCTTCTGTTTCTCTACCACCACTATGTCCGGTTGGTTAGCCACCACCTTTTTGTCCGTCTGTATCTGGAAGTCCCACAGGATCTTAGCTCGGTCATTCTCCACCACCTCCCATGTTGACCTCGGGGCTTCCAGATGTTTCTGTATACTATGCTGGCCACTTGGCTATGGCGTTCCATGTACGCCCTGCATGCTAGCATCGTGTCTCTGGGTCATCTTTACACAGCCTGCACCTGGGGTCTTACCTGCTGTGACAGACCCCAGCCTCTAAAAAATAAAAGCAGCTGAAATGTTAAAGAAGAGTTTTTCTGGTCTTTATTTTTAATATCTGACATTTAAACAGCACAGTCATGGCGATCAAACCGGGCACTCCGCATCGACTCATCGGGTTGCCCAACATCACAACTCTTCACATCAACATGATGAAAACAGTCCAACTCCACCCCTGAAGGGCTTTGGGCTTTTATTTTGAAGGTCTGCCTATCAGGTTGCAGCTGTACTTCCTCTCCTGATGGCCATAAAATGTTGTTTTATTTTATGTGTGTGTGTCAGTGCTGGGTGGATTTGTGTGTGTGCGCTGCAGTAAAGTCCAGCTGTGTGTCCTCGGCGGCGGTCAGGGCGCGCTCGATTCTTCTCTGCAACTCGGCGTCAAGCAGCGTCGCTCCGACCACAAAATGACCCTGACACAAAGCAAAGCGAAAGTCGGTCATCATGACTCACTAAACTTTAAAATATTTTAGTTTGACTTTCAAACCTTCTTCTTGAGGCTTCGTGATGCTACAGGGGGGTTAAAGGTCATATCTTTGATGCTGTAGTCGTCAAACAGCTCCACAGATGACCTGCAGGGGGCAACGTTCACACTTCAGAAAAACTAAACTTTTAAAGGCGCAGTACGCCGTTTTCACTGATCCTCACACAGGCCGAGCTTTCTGATTAAACACAGGTGATGTGTGTGTACCTGCGACTCAGCTCCGCACTGAGCGCCGCCGAGCCTTCAGAGGGAGCGCCCTGACTCAGGTGGACTGCAAACCGCCGCACGACCGGGTGGTAATGTCTCTGAAAGAGCACAAACACCGCGCAGCTACATTCAGGAACACGTGGGGCCATGTGTGCACCTGCATACCTGTGTGTGTGTCTGCAGTGTGTGTATACCTGCAGTGTGTGTGTGTGTCTGCAGTGTGTGTGTGTGTGTGTGTGTGTGTATACCTGCAGAGTGTGTATACCTGCAGTGTGTCTGCAGTGTGTGTGTGTGTGTATACCTGCAGTGTGTGTGTGTGTATACCTGCAGTGTGTGTGTGTGTGTATACCTGCAGTGTGTGTAGCTCCCACAGTGCTGTGTTCTGAGCGTTGCAGTGTTCAGGTTCGTCGAGCTTCGGCAGATAGAACCCACTGCCCTGAATCTCGTTGTCCAGCAGGAAGTCACACTTTGGGAAGGACTGAGAAAGACACACACACACACACACACACACACACACGTCAAACTTCTACCTGTACAACTACTTGAATTACTGAGCAGCTGTTAGGTAACCACACCTCTTTTCAAGTGACTGAATTCAGCATTTTATATAGCAACAACGGCGATCTGAGAGAGCGGTCGGGGACGAGGGGAGGAAGACAGGATGTCAACACACACGTTCAGACTCACATGCATCGTGGCTCGGTTGGCGGCAAGAATTCCCACGCTGGCGTTGGGCATTACGTGCAGACTGATCGTGCTCAGCCTTTTGACAAACGCCATCGCCCTCTGTAGGGTCACCTGCTTCCTGCGGCGGGTCAGCATTGCGTCCAGACACCGCAGTACAATGATGGCGTCATCATTGGGCGCCCCTGAGGGATTCAAAGCGTGGCTGTTAAAACAATCATGTGACGTGTGACGTCATACTGCCGGTTCAAAGTGAGGCTAACTGACCTGCGTGGAGCCTGGGCAGCAGTTTATATAACTGAGAGTAAAAGTTGAGCGGGTCGATGTTCAGGACGTCACCTGATACACAAACAAACTTTATTGATCCAGGAAACTCAACAGGAAGTGACATCATGAGCAGGAAACACACCTGACTTTTCAAAGAGTTTCTAAAAATAATTTATTGGTCTATCTCAGTGAGAATAAACTGTAGCCAGTGCTGTTGCTGAGCAGTGCTGCACATGTGCCTCTGTGAGCCGAACACGAACACACATGTTTGTCTATCTCACTTGAGGGGACCCTTACACTCTATATTCCCAGGACTCCAAGTCTGAACCTTTAAAACAACTCGTTATTGCAGCTTATTTACATAAACATCCCAGTGTTTTCCACAAATGTCTCGACGTTGATACACAAAGAAGGTCCTGACTTCTTGTGATCATACAACAAAAATATTTAAAATGGCCTCAAAGGTCTTCATCAGACTAAGGTCTTCACAAGTCAGATATACGAGCACACAAACAGAGTCTGACCTTGTCCTGACAGGATGGTGAAGACGGTCTGGATGCAGTGCAGCGTCTCCTTATTGGACAAATCCTGCAGGTATAAATAAACCACAAAAATAAATAAAGAACTAAACTAGCAGGTGACTGCAGGGGGCGGGGTCAAATCTGAACACTCACTCCTGCTTGGATGAGGTCCTGCAGCACGTTGAGCAGGTCATCAAAGAACTCCAGGTTGATGAGGTGAGCAAAACTGACAGGAAATGACATCATATTCAGCACTATAGTAGTACTACAGAGTGTGTGT